TCGTTGATGTTGTATTTGCATTAGCATAATTTGTATAAACACTTTATAAGACAGTCTCCATCGTTATAGAAAAGCAGCGGCTAGTTATAAGACCACTGGATGCTATTTCTAAATATTATTTAGATCTATTAGATCAGTGCTGGTATGTATATTGTATATTAAGTCATAATAGTAAAGTCAAAATGAAAATTTCGATTTATAGCATACGCCATCTTGAAAGCATTACTCGGCAGGCGCTCTCGCCTGCAACCCGCATTTTCCGAACCTGCCCGAAATGCTCCCTAAGCGCCTGCGGAGGAGGTAGGCGTGAACCGCAGTTATATAGTTCGGATCACGCTGTGATTTTAGGGCTCGCTAACACTGCAACTGCAGAACACTATAAAGTGTCATCAATCAAGCAAAACTGATGTGAGGGAGAAGTTGAACATTATTTTTGATTACTAACGCAATGATATTTGTTTGCATGCTTGTTCACAAGGGGGTCAAAAATTATTTAATTGATTCAACTAAAATAACTCGCAGAATTAAATACCCGCTGCGATTGTCAAATGTCAAAAGATATATGAAGTAGCTAGATCTACCGTATTCTATAACTTGGCTCTTAAGAGGCGGCTGTTCGGCGATTGCAGCTTATCGAAGGTATATAGGCTATAGATCTAACACAACTCACAAATTTTATTATTTTATGTGATGACTCATCGTGTATAATTATAAAATATCACATTCTGCGGGCTTTCTTCAGTTGGTGACGCTTCTGATGCTGAATTAGTGACTGTGCCTAATTGTCGAAAAAAAACTACCGTATTGCCATCATTTTTTTGCGTGAGGTTGCATATCACATAAAACTGCTATTGTGAAAGTGAAGACAAGAAAATCAAAAGCATTAGCTAAAAACCAACAACAGCCTAACAATAAGCTAAAAAATTTGCGCATAAAACCACTCAGATGGAACATAAGTTAAATATAATGATGTTCATGCACTCCTTTAGTCTTTTCGTTTTCATAAATCTGTCATGTAGTAGCTAGCATATATACTGCTGTGTCTTACGTGTGACTGATTTGGTTTGAATTGCATGATATATATTAAACAACACGAAATAATTGAGAAAACCAGTAGGCACTGATTTGGTTTGAATTGCATGATATATATTAAACAACACGAAATAATTGAGAAAACCAGTAGGCCTATATATATATATATATATATATATATATATATATATATATATATATATATATATATATATATATATATAATATATATATATATATATATATATATATATATATATATATATATATATATATATATATATATATATATATATAATGTCAAAATATGCATCATGTCATGTCAAAATATACCCTCTCAAGTCAGTATATTCTGAGCTGAAAATGGCAAATATATATTGCATGCATGGGCATACTGTAGACTGTTTTGACCTGTGAAATTAATTTTGAATTATACAGTATATACCAAATATGTTTTCATTTTAATCATTTCAGGACGTTCTATTAGCTTCCACTGGTTAACTGACAGATGGTACATCTTCATAACCTGCCAGCAAAATATGGCACATATTTTTGGCGCAAGAGTTTTTACTAAGTAGAACCTCACACGTGTATATTCTCTACAGATTCCACTGGTTAAGAAAATATGGCACATCTTCATAATCTGCCAGCAAAATGTGGCACATATTTTTGGCGCAAGAGTTTTCACTAAGTAGAACCTCACACGTGTATATTCTCTACAGATTCCACTGGTTAAGAAAAGATGGCACATCTTAACTTCATAATCTGGCAGCAAAATGTGGCACATATTTTTGGCGCAAGAGTTTTCACTAAGTAGAACCTCACACGTGTATTTTCTCTACAGATTCCACTGGTTAAGAAAAGATGGCACATCTTCATAACCTGTCAGCAAAATATGGCACATATTTTTGGCGCAAGAGTTTTCACTAAGTAGAACCTCACACGTGTATATTCTCTACAGATTCCACTGGTTAAGAAAAGATGGCACATCTTCATAACCTGCCAGCAAAATATGGTACATATTTTTGGCGCAAGAGTTTTTACTAAGTAGAACCTCACACGTGTATATTCTCTACAGATTCCACTGGTTAAGAAAATATGGCACATCTTCATAATCTGCCAGCAAAATGTGGCACATATTTTTGGCGCAAGAGTTTTCACTAAATAGAACCTCACAGGTGTACATTCTCTACAGATTCCATTGCCACTGGTTAAGAAAATATGGCACATCTTCATAACCTGCCAGCAAAATATGGCACATATTTTGGCGCAGGAGTTTTCACAAAGTAGAACCTCACACGTGTATATTCTCTACAGATTCCACTGGTTAAGAAAAGATGGCACATCTTCATAACCTGCCAGCAAAATATGGTACATATTT